CCAGATTTGTAACTGGCATCTGAAGTGGGGGTGAGGGGCATCACGTGGGCTGGAGACCTTAACCAGTGGATCTGATTTTATCTCCAGGAAGGTTCTGAATTCAGGTGAATTAGAGGACACCTGCTGCTGTGTGCTGGAGAAGCCCCTGCAGAATCCCTCGCTTCTGATGTGTGGAAAGAACCACACACATCTGTCATAGAAGTAGTCTGTGTTTATTGTTGTGTAGGAATATGAAAATTACTATTATTTTCTATATTCTTAGAGAATCTAATGTTCATAGATCAGATGGCCATATTGTTAATATGTCTAAACTACCAAAATCACCTACATATTTAATGCAATCCTTATTAAAATTTAAATAGCATTTTCTTTCAAAAATAATTTTTAAAATCTCAAATTCTTTCTCTGTGTTTTACTGATATATTCTTTGGAGTTTTCTTAAAACACATGTTTTGAAGTCTTTGACTGTAAGACCACACATCTTCATGACTTTAGTGTCAATCTCTGGTGCTCTGTTTTTCAAGTCATGGTTTTAAGAGTGCGTTTGATGCTTGTGGCCATAAAATAAGCACATTAAATGATTAGGTATTTATTACAGCTTCAGCAGTCTGGCTTTGTGCTTATTCTTTCAGAGATTCTAAGCAGGTTCATTATTGTATTATCCTGTGGTCACCGCTTCTTTTTCAGCATTAGAGAGTGCTCTAAGCCTAGGTTTGCCACGTGTTTAAAGTTGCTGTGTTGTTCTGGCATGAAAGAAGTAGAGGAGGGCTTGAAGTGGCTACTCCAATCCACTGGCTTTGCAGGTTTTCCCATGGGACTGGGACAGGCCCAGAGGTTCTGTTTATGGTCCCCTGGTTGGGATCAGCCACCTCAGTGCTCTGCACAGCGCAGGGCCCAGCCCTGGGCTTCAAGGCAACATATGCCTGCTTCACTCCCATTCTCTTAAGCAGACACTGCCTCTCTCTGTGCTGTGCTTCCTGGAGCAGGGAGAGGATGAGAACAGCAGTCCTGTGGCTACCACAGCTGCTGTAATGCTGGGTCACACCCAAAACCCACAGCCAGAGACCAGTAAACTCAGGGTGATAACTGAGGCCCACATTGCTACAGCCTGCCTGCCACTGAGGTTTATTTGTGTCTCAAGGCTGCTGCAGAGCATCAGTGGTGATGTGGGCTGGGACACCAATGTCTCACCAAGGCTGGGAGTCTCCATCTGGCACAGTGGCAGGTCCAGTAGCTCTGTTCACAGGCACCAGACTGGAGTCAAGGCCACTGGGTTTTGTCTTGTGTTGGGTTTCTCCATGGCCAGCCTGGCACTGGGTTGCCAGGTGAAGCTTTGAGCTCATGTTCCTCTTATTTTCCCCAGTGGATAGAGTCACTTTCTGCACCTTGCTGCTGAGGAATGGTGGGGGCAGTCCCTTGGTCATCAAGGCTTAGCAGGATAATGCCCAAAGCTCATGGAAATTGGGACTAGAAAAAACCTGGAACATGTCCCAGACCCATGCTGATATGTTCTGCCTGCTACTCAAGTTTACTCGTGGCCCAATGCCACTGGAGAAGGCCAGAAGTGACACAAACAAGAACATGAGACTATCCTGTTGGGGCTGCAGTTTTCCACCAGGGGCTGGCACTTTAGTGCTCTGCCAAGAGTGGGGCTCAGTGCTGGGCTTCCAGGTAACATGTGCCTGCTGTGGATTAATGCAGCTCTGCCTGTGGAAACCATCTACCTCTTATCACTTTCTCCGTTAAATCTTCTGCACTCATATTTATTTGTTGTGTGTGCTCCTGGAGTCTCCATATCGACTGAGGTGGTTCCTCTTGTGCCTATTTGGGATACAAACTAACTGGAAGTTTCCAAACAGCCTGTGAGAAGCTGAGTCCATAAGATAGATGTCTTAGTACACCGTGTCTTTCTGTAGCCTCTCTGGGTCTCTGTTTTCTTGGCTGGGTATTTTTTTTATTGTACTTTAGGCTCTGGGGTACACGTGCAGACCATGGCATTTCTCCCCATGTTATCCCTCCCCGACTTTGGCCCCCTTAACAGACCCCAGTGTGTGATGCTCCCCTCCCTGTGTCCATGTGTTGGCTGGGTATTAATTTCAATAACTAGTGATGAGTGAAAAAAGAGTGACAAGGAATTGAAGAATACTTTTTTCACTTTATGTTTTCATGGATCCAAGGCATGACCCTGCCCAGGCAGCAGATAAAGCAGGACATTGAGAATTTTGGTGCTCATGAGTGTTCCAGCAGGAGTCACCCAATAATCTACAGAGTGAGATCTGAGCATTCTCCTCTGTGGCCTGGTGGCTGGCAGGAGACTAGGAACTGCCTTTTCTGCCCTGAATAGCACACATACATCTATGGTGCATTTAGGAGGACAAGAGACAGGAGGAAGCTATAAGAGAGATAATCGTAATGGAAGCTCTGAAGATCCAAAATAAACCGGAGAGAAACGGAGACTTCTGATCCTTCATCCTACAAGAAGGATCAGGCCAGGACCATCCTTCAGCACAGCTGTCCCAGAAACCATGGGCTTGTGAAGCTAAACCCATCTGTCCTCACATTTGGTAATGACACCTGATCTGTGGTCAGAAGATAAGCCAGGTTCTGTACAAAGTCTGATCAGTCATGCAGAATGACGAACATTGCACTAGAGGTCAATAATATTTTAATGAATAATGTACCTGTGGCATTTATTTATTGCATTTTATTATATAAGAAGCACTTTCAGGCCAGGCACAGTGGCTCGTGTTTGTAATCCAAGCACTTTGGGAGGCTGAGGAGGCTGGATCACAAGGTCAGAAGTTCAAGGCAAGTGTGGACAAGATGATGAAACCCCATCTCTACTAAAAATACAAAAAATTAGCTCAGCAATGTAACAGACATGTGTAATCCTAGCTACTTGGGAAGCTGCAGCAGGAGAATTACTTGAGCCCAGGAGGTGGAGGTTGCCCTGAGCCAAGATCATACCACTGCACTTCAGCCTGGGCAACAGAGTGAGGCTCTGTCTCAGAAAAAAAAAAAAAGGCACTTTATTAGTTAACTTAAAATATTTAATCACACTAAAAGTATTCTTAAATAATCTCACAGATGAGACTTGTGAGTTTCAGATTGGGGAACCATTTGTCCATAGTCACAGTTAATAAGATGCATGACATGATTGCTTGCATGTGGTTAGTTCACAGATTTAATTAAAATACCTTGGATTAGAGATTATTAATAAATTTTCAAGTATTTTAGAATCATCAGTGAGCAGTCACATTTAGCATCTGATGGTAGAATGGTCAGGATACTTACACCACACCTGTGTCATGTCCTCATAGTAAGGTTTATCATGTATTTAGAGTGTATGCATCTGTGTGAATAAGTCATATGTCAAGTCAGCCTGGAGAATATTTGACAGGGTCCCAAGCAGATCTTGAACATTTAATATACAGAGCTACCTTTTCCCAGTGGAAAGAAAGATAGTCCTTGACCATTGCCTGTGGGCATTGCCAGAGATGGTGCAGGCTGGACAAGAATGTCCACCATATGTCCAAGAACCAGTGTCCTTCAAGGGTGTTGCTGTGGATTTCAGGGAGAGTGTGTCCTGCAGAGGAAGTGGCACAGAGGTATGATGCCAGAGAACTTCAGTTATCTCTGTGTGGGGTGTGTGTGGGTGACACTTTCCACACTCATGTATCTAGAACACTTTCTCCATATTCCACCCTGCCTGTACCCTGATTCCTAGACTTCCATGGCACTACTTAAATGTGAATGAGGAAATTTGTTTATTCATGTATTTACTTACTCATTCACTGACTGTGCAATGATGAGGGGGCACTGGCTCTGGGAAAAAAGCTTGGAGAAGGAGGGAGAATGTAGTTTGGGGTTAAGGCTCAGGAATGGAAGAGAGACTGGGAAGCTGAGGACAAGGAGAAAGGAAAAGCTCTGCTCAGCCCTCCCTGGTGATGCTATACTCAGCAGGGGCTGGCAGGACCTGTAGGTTTGTGACTCAAGGGGAGGGTTACTCCAGCCACATATGGAAACCTGGCACCTAATGTGTGGGCTTCACCAGGATGGAGGGTGTCTGAGGGCAGCAATAGAAGCAGCACATCTGTTGTCTCACATTGGAGTTTCTTGTTCCCAAATTCTTCTGTCCCAGTGAACAGAATAGGACCACCCTTCTCACATGCTGAATTCCTCCCTCTTTGCAGGGAGCGCTCTTCTTGCAAATTGGTTCTTCTCCAATTAGCCACACAAGCCCCACTCTGGGCATAGAGTGTGTGATACCTGCCCCTGGATCTGGTGCTAGGAAGGAGACCCCAGGAAAGAGTGTGACATGGAGACTCTGGGACTCAGAGACTCTGGGAGGGACAATAGCTGAGAGGGTGAGCGCCAGAAGATAGAGGACAGTGACCATGGTTGTCATGTGACCATCAGGGACAGGAAGAGGCCCTCTGTGACTCCAGGTCCCAGATCTTCCCAGGTCATCTTCTTGCCACTGATCTATGCCCTTGCCACTGATCTATGCCCTCATATGTCCTATGAGCCACAAAGGACAATCTCCTCTTACAGCTGTGCTGTCATTATCACACCTGGCCCCACGCATCTTCTTCAGACCAGAAGTGCCAGGGCTGATTCTTGTGGACCCAGCCACTTACTGCCCAGGTATAGGGCCAGCTTCTCAATGTTGCTGCTGCCTTGACTTGCTCCCATGAGACCTGCATATCCTCATCAACACAAGACCCTTCTCTGCCTGCTCTGGGGTCCCCAAACCAACACCAGCAGAACCAGGCAATGGCTCACATGATCACCCCCTTTGTAAGAGCATTCCACTGGACCCTAATGCAGGTGTTTAAAATGACACATCTGTGAACTGGGATCCCCATTACAGAAATCTAGTTTATGAACAACTTTTTGGGGATAAAACATGTTACACGATAAGCTGCTTCCAATGTGTGTGGCAGAGACGAGGTTCCCTGGACCCACATGCCCCAGAGAAAGGCCCAGGCACTCCCCAACAGGTCTAACTCAGCAGCTGCCTGGTAGCTGGCCTGGGTCTCTGAGGAGGGGCCCCAAGGCTCAGTCCAGGGCCTTCTGTATCACTTTGGGGTTTCTCCTGGGGGACTCACGCACATCTGAGACCTTCTGGACAAGGAAGGTTGAGCCCTGCAAGGGGAGACAGAGTCATTCTTTAAGGGAGGGGCACAAAATGAAGCTTATTTGCTTGATACTCCTCTCCTACTCACTGTGAAGGCTTTTTCTCTTCAGGGGTCCTAAGGCACCCACTGAAGGCTTCCCAAAGGACCAGAGGTGCCTGTGCTTCTTGCTCATCTGGAAGACCCCGAAAAGGGTCCCGCTTCTGCCCTTCCTGTGGTAGGCATGTTCTGAAGAGTGGATGAGCAGCTGCAGCCAGGTGAGGAACCAGCAGGCACCCCCACCAGTGGCCTGAAGTGGCTGCCACAAGCACACAGCTGAGCACCTTAGAGTATAGGCAAGGCTGGGCACAGGGGTCCTTCAAGATGTCTTCAACAGGTGCCAAGGTCTCTGAGTTCCTCAGAGCTCATCATGTCTGCATGTAGCCATGGGCCTTGGAGCTGCTGGAAAGCAGAAAAGAGGCTTTCTAGTTTCAAAGGGGAAACTCAGGCAGGACCCCAGACAACCCCTACATTGTCAAGATGAGAATTATGCTAGTCCAAGGCTGGAAGGCATGTGTGACTCAGAGTCCAGCCTCTGAAGCACCTGGAGGGAGGGACGGCCACCAAGACCTGCCTATACTCCTCCCAGGATGGAGCACTGCCCACTTTGTCCACCCCATGGGCTGTTGGCTCTAAGGTTTCTACAGACCCTGTTCTTCCCACTTACTGTCGATCACCCCAAGTGGTTTCTGTGTTTGCATGAGCCTGTATTTCGTGCCCTCATTTCACTGTAGATGCGGAGTGTAAGGTTAAATCACCAATGTACCTGTTTATTTCTGATGGTCAAAGCTGCAGCCCATGGATGCCAAGCCAAACCACAGACATGCCATGAGGGGGGAGCCACATGCCAGGGAGGAAGCCCAGCCCTCAACACCTCAGAGTGCAGGGAGAGGTGTGACAGGGCAGAGTTTGAGGACACACCTGGGGCATGCTGTGTGCAGGTCCCAGGGAGAGGCAGCAACTGGCTCCTGTGGCAGAGTATGGCACAGCCTCATGTTCCCAGCTTGTGTGGCCCCTGGTCTATTGCTGATGTGAGATCAGAGTGTGTAAGTGCCACTGCAGGGGACCTTGAGGGGCCTCAGGGGTTGTCTATGGTCAGAACCAAAATTTGTCTCTGCTTCACCATCTCGACCACAGTTTTCTACAATGTTCATAGATGCTGCTCAGAGGGTCACTCCTGGCCCATGTTGAGCTGCAGCCCAAAGAAGAAAGAAAATAAGAATAGTTAGGAAGGAGAGGAGGGAATGAAAGGGAGAGAGAGAGCTGAGAGCAAATCCAACAGCAGAGAGGGCAGTGTTCTGTAATCTAGGCTCTGCTCTCAGTGCTAAGGGCCATGCACTCCCTTGGAGCTCCACAGCATCTGGGGTCAGACAGTTTTGGGAGGGACGGTCTGTGCACTCTGTTAGCACTATGACATTTGGGTGTCTGAGTATTTGAGGGGAATACTTAGAACACCCCCCTTCAGCTTCTTTCAGGGACAAGCCCCATATAATCTGTGAGCCTTGAGATGTTTGTACAGCATCTGGATGTCTGAGTCTTTTGGAGGTAGAGGGTCCCCAGGCATAAACTTCAGGTGTCCCAGTCTTTCCTCTGCCATCAGAGTTCTATCAGGCTGCAGCTTTCTCTTGTAGCACCCAGATCCTGGGCCATGTTTTGGGGCTTGTGAGACCCTGGGACTCTGGCCCTCAACTCTCCCTCAGCACACACACCACTGCCTGAGGAATGTCTAATATAACCACGGCCAGCCAGGTGCTAAGAGCACCCCCTTCATCTTCTTGCAGGGACGAGCCCCAGAAAACCCACCCTTGGTCTCTCTCTCTCTCTCCATGAGCTTAGGAGAGAAGCTGGAGAAATGACTTCCAAGAATTGCCTGTTTTTCCTATCAGCAGCCTACCTCTCTTCTCCCTCCCTTCTCTCTCTCTTTCCCTGTCCCTCCCTCTTTACCCCAACCCTCTCATCCTTTTTCCTTTCCTCTCCTTTTCCCACCTCCCTCTCAGCCTATGCAGGTGGGCACCATGCCTGCTGTGTGCCTGGCAGTGGTCCCATACCATCAGGCACATTTCTAGTTAGCACTGGGTCACAGCACCACCAGTCACATCATGACCATCAGGATGGGGGATTTATGAGCTCATCCAGGCTTCGTGTCTGCACCAGGCCAAGGTGTTTCCAGAATGCCTCTCCCTTACCTCCTTCCATCACAAGAATGGAGTTTCTGTTTTGGCTTTTCATAGATGCTATAAATTATAACCAATGTGTGTGCATGTGTGTGTTTGTGTGTGTGTGTGCATGGGCCCATGGACATGGCTTCACAGCTGGGCCTTCTTGCTCTGAATCACCTGATGGATCCTTAAAGAAAGGGGTTAGGGTGGCTCTTAGCATGGCTCACCCTAGATCCTGGCTATAAGAGGTGGACACCACACGATGAGCTTCTTGGGTGCCACGTGGCAGCAGCAGGACACAGAACCGAGGGGGAAGTCTCCCAAGGCTCTGTTCCTTCCTGCATGCTCAGAATCCATTAGGTGAACTGAAACAGATGGCTCAGTGTTCCTGTCTGCAAACACACCCTGCATGGGGCTGGTGGCCGCCATGCCCACTAAAGGGAGAGGACAAGGCCAGCAGAGAGCCCACAAATTACAAGTTCAGAAAACCTCAAATGATGTGCAAAAAAAATTTGTCAAGGTTAAGAGAATTTTTCTATCACTCTGCTTCACAGCTCAGCATTTCTGATGGGGTTGACTTATGAGCTGAGGGAGCTGGCAGGGGGGCTTAGGGGAGAGTGGGCAGGAGGGCAGTATGCTTTGGAGGTTCTAGAATTCCCGAGGCTCAGCACCAAACAGCCTCAGAACCAGGCTTTCAAGCGGCAATCAGGCAGGGAGCCAAAGTTTAAATTTGGAGAGCGATGCATCCCTGAGGACACAGTGGCCTCCATGCAGAGACACCATGGCTGGACCATCTCCTCTCTCTGGCTCTCTCCTGCATTCACTAATTGTGAGTGAATAGAAGTCAGCAATGTAGCCTGGGTCAGGCACTCTGCATTCATCCATGCATCTGTCTACCCACTTCTCATCTGTATTGGCCTCCTGTGCCACAGAGACCACACCAGGCCTCAGGCCCTGCCTCAAGAGGCTCAGATGGCCCCGATGGTGTCAGGGCTAAAAGGTTTTACACCAGAGCAGGCCCAACTCCCAGATGTGGCTGGATGTAGCATGTACCTATGTTGGAAAGGCCAAGTTTGCACCCTAGGAAAGGCAGAGACATTGCCTTTGGCATCAGATCCTTGGTGCTGACCCCACCTGGCACAGCAAGAAACACATGTTGCTGTGACCTTTGACACCTCCCTCCCTCTGAGGATTATTCTTCTATCATTTCCTGATCTCCAGGAGCACCCAGAACCCAAAAGGGCCCCAGTCAGATGCAACTTGGGCAGCCTGAGGTCTACCAACCTGGGGAGAGGTGGCCTCTCTCTGTCTTTGTGGGTGTTACAGCATCTTTAGGGTACCATTTTTTGGCCAGAAACCTCTGCGGCTGGTGGTACCTTTGCCCAAGTTCTTGTCCTGTGTCCATGAAGAATGAGATACTCGGAGAAGTGGAGGGTGAGCAAAATGAAGATAAACTTTACTGAGTGTTAGCACAGCTCAGAGGAGGCCCCTGGGGGGCAGCTTCTCTCTGTAGGCAGGTCCTCCCCTCCAGTGATCAGCTCTCAGCAGAGAGGTGGCCCTGGAGTGGGTGGCTCCTCTCTGCAAGCAGGTAGTTCCTCTCTGCAGCCAGTCATCCAGTCATCACAGTCCTCTGCCCTGCTCTGGCTAAGCTTTGAGCTTTTATGGACCCTAGAGGCGAGGAAGTGCTTGCTGATTGGTCCATAGGGTATGGGCCTGCAGGAAGAGGCACCACAAGTCCTCACTCCAGTCACCACCTGGCCCCCAGCCTTCAGGGCCTCCCTGTTTGGCAGGTGGGGACTTATCGGGGACTCCCACACTTCCTGTTCATATCTGCCTCCCCACTGCTGCCCACGGCACCCAGGCCACTGGCACCAAGGGGCACCCTCAGGCCAGTGATGAGGTCCCCCAACCCCCATCTCAGCCTCCCTCCCACATTCATTGTCACCCAAAGTCTGGAGGGGCCAAGATGGCAGGGGCCAGCGTGTCAACGTTGCCCCTAGCCTGGGGCTCCAGCAGCGCCTGGACTCGACCCCAGCCCCTCCCAAGATCTGAGTCAGTGCCAACCGGGAGGTCTGGGAAGCAGCTCAGACATGGGTGGTTCCAGCTGTGCCTGGGGAACTCCAGCCCTGCCAACTGGGAGGGGGGGAGTTCCCACCTGTCTCTGGCACCGCAGAGTGCACAGTCCCAGCCCGTGCACCTTCTCTATGTCTTCCCGCAGTGGCAGCCAGCGAGGTGCAGGTGGCATGGTGGACCTGGCCAATCCCGCACAAACCCGCCACTCCCAGGGCCGGCCCTCAGAGTGCAGACTGCTCCTTGGCTGGTGCTTAGGAGCCGCTGGGGCAAGGCAGGGAGTGAGGTTGAGGCTGCAGCAGAAGCTCAGGGCCTGGAAGCGGATCCTGCCAGGCACTGCCAGGGCAGAAATGGTATAGTCAGCTGCCTTGGGAACATGGGGCCCACTGCTGCCATCATTGCTCCCACAGCCGCCCCCGCTGCCCTCTCTGCCTCCTTGCAGCCTGGGCAGGGCTCCAATGCCTTGCTGGGCTGGGGCGGTGTCCGGGAAGGGGGCGACATCGCCGCAAGTTCCCCGCTGTGGCCGGGGCTTTCCCAAGCCTGGCTGGCGACCCTGCCAGGTAGCGCCTCTGGGAACCAATTGTGGACGGGACCCGGCCAGCCGCCACACTCCGACGCGGAGTGGATCCTGGGGATGCAGCCTCGGGTGGCCCCTCGCTGAGCCTCCATCATGGGCGCAGAAAACTGGCGCCCGGCAGGGAGCCAGCAGCTGCCACATTGCTGGCCGGTCCAGTAAGCGGGCGCCACTCCCACTTCCCACCCCAGGCCGCTGAAGCTCGGTCACCGCTCCGCCTTTGCATTTGGGGCACGGACCCCACGCTCCTAGCACAATCGAGGCACTGTCCTGGGCCCAGCTCCTCACTGGGGCCCCTCCGTGGAGGACCTTGCAGTTCCCCTTCCAGCGGTTGTATGAGCCCGGCGAGGCCACACAGTAATGGCTCCCAGGGCGGCAGGCCCTGGGACTGTTTGCCTCAGCGTCTGCACCAGAGGACCCACAGCCTTCACCCTCACCTTGCTGCAGCCGGTGCCATGGCAGCTGCCGCTTTGGACAAGCCGCCACTGCCATTATGGGTGTGGCAAGTCTCATTCCAAAGGAAGCAGGGACCAGTACCTGTGACTGCCCAGGCCTGCTTTGTGGAGTCCATGGGAAATCCTGTGCCTCCCAGAAAAGGGCATGGGCCCCCTTCCTCCAATCCTTGAGTCAGCTCTGGAATGTAGTCATGGCAGCAGCTGGTGGCACAGTTCTGGAGTCTGGTGCCTGGGCTGGTAGCTGGCCCTTCTCTTGGGACAGCTGTGTATCCAGAGGCTTCCATCTGCTCTTCTGCAAAATGAGGCAACACAGCACCCAGCTTTTAGATCCCTGGCAATGAATGAGAGTCCTCGTTCGCCAAGTGTGTCCCTGAGTGCACAGAGACCCTGGGAAGGAAGGCGAGAGGACAGGAAAGGTAGCAGGCGGGAGCAGAGTCTGTGCAGCCATCTGCATTTTGTGGAATCAGAGACAGCACAGGCACAAGAAGACAGGCCTGCAGCCTCCCACCCACCCGACCAGAACCACACACCCAGGGCCACTTCAGGAGCATTTCTCTGGTCTAAGACAGAAAAGCAGTAGCTTCTGAAGCTCTGTCCAAGCTCTGCGGCCTGTAGCCTGACTGTGTTAAGAGGCATAGGCCCTACCCCTCCCAGCACACCCCTCCCATCACAACCCTCCCAATGCTCCCCTCCCAGCACACCCCTCCCAGCACACCCCTCCCAGCATATCCTCTCCTAGCTCTCTTCCAGTGCACCTCTCCTAGCGCATCTCCTCCTAGATCCCTCCTAATGAACCCTACCCAGCACACCACCTCCCAACTCACCCCTTCCAGCAACCCCTCCCAGCACACTCCTCCCAACACACCCTACCCAGTCCCCTCCCTTCACTGCCCCTCCCAGTGCACTCTTACTGATTCAGGGCCCTGAGATCAGGGCTTCTCCTGGCTTTCCTTGAGGAAGCATCACCACAGAGTCAGAGGAAGAGGTGCAGTTGGCATGATGGCCTGGCCAATCCGGCATGAACCTGCCCCTTCCAGGGCCTGTCCTGTGAATGCCGGCTGTGCCTTGGCCCAGTATTGGAGAGTGTGGGAGTGTGCATGGTCATGTACAAGTGTGTGTGCAAGTGTGGGAGTGTGCAAGAGCATGTGCAGGTGCACAGGAGTGTGTGTGCATGTGTGGCAGCCTGCACAGACATGTGCATGTGTATGGGAGTGTGTACAGGTGTGCTAGTGTGTAGGGGCATGCACCGGCATGCAGTATTGAGCAAGGGCATGTGAGAGCATGTGCAGGCATGTGTGGGTGTGAGAGGGTGTGTGCCCAAGTGTGGTGGTGTGCATAAGTGTGTAGTGTCCTAGGGCATGCAGGAGTGTGTGTGGAGGTGCGGGAGTGTGCACGGGGGTGCGCACAAGTATGGGAGTGTGCGAGAGCATGCATGGGTGTGCAAGGATGTGTGTGTGCAGGTGTGCAAGACAATGTAAGATTGTGTGTGGATGTGTGAGCAAGTTCAGGGGTGTGCAAGGCGTGCAGGGGTATGTGGGTGTGTCCACAGGCATGTGCAGGTGTGGAGGAGTGTGCAGGGGCATTCACGGGTGTGCAGGAATGTGCACAGGCACATGTGTGTGGGAGTGTGTGGGCATGAGAGGGTGTGTGCCCACGTGTGATGGTGTGCATAAGTGCATCGTAGTGTCTGCAGGCATGCAGGAGTGTGTGCCGGCATGAGCGCAAGTGTGGGAGTGTGTGCAGGTGTGTGAGGGCATGTGGGGTGTGCGCAGGCATGAGAGTGTGCCCGTGTGTGGCAGCATGCACAGGTGCGTGCAGGTGTGTGGGAGTGTGTGTGGGCATGTGGGACTGTGCATGGGCATGATAGTGTGTGCATGAGTGTGCGCACATGTGGGAGTGTAGGTGGGTGTGCCAAGGTGTGCGCCTGTGTGTGGGCGTGTGTGTGGCAGGCGGCATGGTGGCCCAGGTCAATCTCAAAGGAACCCGCTGCTCCCAGGGCTAGTCCTACCATTGCAGGCTGCACCTTGAGGGGGTGCTGGAGACCTCCCGAGACACCACAGGGAGTGAGGCCTAGGGAGCAGCGAAGCCTCAGGAGCGGGGAGCTTGTCCTTCCAGGCAGTGCAAGGGTGGAGGTGGTACAGTCGGCTGCCTTGGGGACATGAAGACAAGGAGCCGACTGCCGCCATCACTGCTCCCACAGCCGCCCCCACTGCCCTCTCTGCCGCCTTGCAGCCTGGGGCAGGCCTCCAATCCCTTGCTGGGCCAGGGCGGTGTCCGGAAAGGGGGCACATCGCTTCAAGTTCCCCGCTGCGCCCGGCGCTCCTGCTCACCTGGCTGACAACCCTGCCAGGTAGTGCATCTGGGAATGGATTATCGCCCGGACTTGGCCGCGGCTGATGCGGAGTGGATCCTGGGGACGCAGCCTCAGGCCCCTCGCTGAGCCTCCAGCCTCGACGCAGGAACCTGGCCTCACAGCAGGGAGGGCGCCCCAGCCACAGTTGGCCAGGTCTGTGAAGCCGGTGCCACTCCCGCTTCCCAACCAAGGCCTCTGAAGCTCGGCCACCGCTCTGCTTTCATGTTTTGGGCCCAGACCCCGCCCTCTGAGCACAATCGCGGCACTGTCCTGGACCCAGCTCCGACTGGGGCCCCTCCGTGGCGGACCTTGCAGTTCCCCCGTTAGCGGGCGGCTGGGCCCGGCCAGGCCCCACACAGTAGTGGCTCTCAGGTCGGCAGTCCCTGGGACTGTTTGCCTCAGCATCCGCGCCAGAGGACCCACAGCACTCGCTGCCCTGCACTGCAGCAGGCGCCGCTGGCAGCTGCTGCTTTGGACAACCCGCCACCTGCCGTCATGGATGCTGGCAAGTCTCACTCCAAAGGAATCACAGAGAGACCAGGACGTGTCACTTCCCAGGCCTGCTTTGTGGAGTCCAGAGCATGGGAAATCCTGTGGCTCCCAGAAAAGGGCACTGGCACCCTCCCTCCAGTCCTTGAGTCAGCTCCAGAGAGCAGGCATGGCAGCGCTGATGGCACAGCTCTGGAGTGCGCGGCCTGGGCCGGTAGCTGGTCCTGCTCTTGGGGCAGCTGCGTATCCAGGGGCTTCCATTTCCTCTTCTGCAAAATGAGGCAACACAGCACCCCGCTTGTAGATCTCAGGTGACAAATGAGGGTCCTTAATTGCACCCAGAGTATTCCTGAGTGCACAGAGACCCCGGGAAGGAAGGAGGCAGGAGGAAGCAGTGGTCTGTGCAGCCATTTGCCTTTTGTGGAATCACAGACAGCACAGGCAAAAGAAGTGAGGCCTGCAGCCTCCAACCCACACAACGAGAACCATGGGGCCAGGGCCACGTCAGGAGCATTTCTCTGGGCTGAGACAGAAAAGCAGCAGCTTCTGAAGCTTTCTCCAAGCTCTGGGGACAGCAGCCTAACTGTGCTAACAGGAACAGGCCCTGCCCCCTCCCAGCCCCTTCCGAGCACACTCCTCCCAATGCACCCCTCCCAGCGCACCACCTTCCAGACCCCTCCTAAAGAACCCCCAGCACAGCAACTCCCAACTCACCACTTCAAGACCACCCCTCCCAGACCCCTTCCAACTCACTCCTCCTAATAAGCCCCACCCAGCCCCCTCCTAGCATGTCCCAGCTCACCCCTCACAGCATACCCCTCTCAACACATCACTCCCAGCACACCCCACCCAGCCACCTCCCAGCATGCCGCCTCCCAGTGCTCCCTTGCCGATGCAGGGCCCTGAGACCAGGGCTTCTCCTGGCTTTCCTAGAGGAATTGTCACTGCTCACTGGGCTTCCATCACAGGCTCTACTCTGTGGAAGGAAAGAGTTAACCAAGACCACTCAGTCACCCCAAGTGGACTACTGAGGAGAAGAGAAGCTTCTCCTTTTAGGAGCTACCAGGTGTAACTCCCAGCCTGTCACCATCCAATTTGTCAGGGGTTGGGGTCAAGCCTCTTCTGTGGACGAGGAGAAGTAGCCTAGGAAACAGGAGTGACAAGGAAGGAGAGGCTGTCAGGCCAGAGAGGGGACCCCACCTGCAGAGCAGGGAAACATGGGCAGGTACTCTGGACCAGGACCCCTGGGGGATTTGTTGCCTCTTTTCTCCAGGCCTCTGCACCCCCAGAGGGACAGAGACACACTAGGGCTCCAGAACACTGTCCCATGAGGGTGAGAAACCAGCCATGTCCTTGTTCAGACACACTTGAGAGAGGCTCAGGTATTTACCCCAGCAAGTAGAGGGCTAGGATTCAGGCTACATGCAGACACCTTCAGGGCCATCACGTGCAAAAGAAGGCTTATTCTGGAAGGTGACAGGGTCCTTATGGGAATGGAGGGACTGTCCACCCAAAAACAATTCCCAAGGATGTGAGCAAGGGAGACAGAGTGAGGGAGAGCAGGCTGGGACATTCGGGCCACCACCAACACAGGTGTTGTGAGTCCTCTACCCCATAGCAAGCTCCAGCTGCCACCAGTGGTGGAGTGGGCCAGGGACCCCTGGGTCTTGGCCAGCTCAACACCTCTGTTGGTCTTAGCCAGCTCAGCCTCTCTCCCTCCCTGTGGCAGAGAAAGACAGCCAGGACTGCCTCGACATGTGGAGGGCTGCAGACCGCAGCTCTGGCTTGGTGGGCCTTTTGAGAGGTTTCCTGCAACACATTAGCAGCTGGGGTGGCATCAGCAGTTGGGGTGGCAAGTGAGGGTGGCCCTAAGAGGTCTTTGTGCTTGGGGAGGGGTCTCACCCACATGGATCTGGTGGCCCTGGGTCTGCTCCCTTGAAGATGAAAGAACCTGCCACCCCCAACAATGAATAGTCCCTGTGGCCTCCTTCCCTCCAGACTATGCCCTGGCCACCCCTGTCTTGGTGAGAAGTGGGATGCAGTGGAGCAGGCTTCCAGGTGTGTGGTTCTTGGGTTGGGCTGGCCCTGGATTTGGGCAGGGCAGGCAGTGACCTCCCTGGATGGCGTGAGGACCCTTCATACAACCCTTTTAGGGACCAGAACCTTGAATGTCATGGGGGATTTGCTGTCCTGCCTAGGGCAGAGCTGTCTCTGCATAAGTTGGTAACACAAAGGAAGTCTCCCTAGACACCTGACCTGAGCCCTAAGCACCAGGATAGCCACCACCCCCAAC